AATATTGAAACATTTTTTTAATTATTAATCGTGTACACAGAAAAATAAATCATTGTTATAAAATTAATACATCTCAAAAAATAAAATAAGAAAATGATAGTATTAATTTTTAATTCACTATATAACTTTTAAGTTTGTACTATAATACAAATATGCAACTATTACTAATTAGTGCACTTCATAAAATATTTATTTGAAATTTTAATAAAATATTTTTATCATTCAAGCAACTCACTTTAGGTTTAAAATTTTATCATAATGTGAAACCAAAATGAAAATATTCATACTGTTGTATAACTTATAGTTTGTAAAATTACTATACTCGACAGTTTGAACTTTCATAATTTTGTATAGTTACAGCATATACATATAATGAAAACAATGATCAAACTTTTAATAACACATTATTATGTATTGAAATATTTGAAACATAATAAATAAAATAAAATGGCCCATTGAATTCTCCCAATCGTTTATCCAGCAAAAACTAACTTATTTCTGCATACTTATCCAGAAATAATACCCTCTTTAATATTTATATTCAAATTACCATAGCCAAAATACTACGCTTTACCAATTTCATTAATTCAAATTGTCAACTAAATTCTGTAATCCTAAATTGCAGATCTTTTAGATGAATTCACCACTGTAAAATATATTTAATTATATTAAAGTTCTATCAATATTTAATATTACCTATCTAAAAAATTTCGTTTTTAGGTATTAATAAAATTAATAATTTTTATTATTTACCAAAATACTTATTTCAATACTAAAAAAATTCTAATCATTTGGTAGCATAACGTGTTAACAAAACTTGAAGTTTATAAATTTACTATAAATGATCGAAATTTCAAATTTATACGATCCCATAATACATTTTTATATTTAAATAAGTATCTATTCATTAAATCACAGCGGATTGATTTATTTTCTATAGAATATAAATGTACATATAAATATAGAAAGTATTAATATTAACTTTTCACGAAATTTTTAAGACCCACAGAACAAGTAGGTACATAATTAATTTAAATATTTATCGAATTACAAAACAATATCAAATATAATAGTAACCTCTTTAATTTAATATTACACATTTCCAAAATGTCATTTCGTTACGATATTACCTTTAATATTCAGACTATTAAATATGTTTCGTGGTCATTATCTAATGTTCATTACAAGATACTTAGGTAATGAAAAGTAATGCATTTCAAATACTTGTATAATTGTAATGGTATAAAATATACGGATATACAATATAATATAATGTATTACGTTTAACTATTTTTTGTTGGATACGATCTAACCTAGGATCTGTGACCATGTTGAAACTACTTGACAAACGTTCCAACTCATTGATAAACACTTTTATATTTGAGCAACTGCTACTAGAAATAACCCTTTATGTGCGATTCCATTATCACAATGACGATACCTTGTTATTGTAAAGACCAGAAACACCGCGTGATATTAATATATTATGCCCATTCATGTTATCATCTGCTCAAATATATTATATTGGTATTGTTATACCAAAAGTATTATAGATAATATACCTGTACTAAACACATGGCGGGAAAAAATACTTCTTTTCCGCCAATTTAACCCGCCTTTTTTGACAGCATACAAGTCAACTTAATAAATCCATATTTTATTCTTCGATAACAAATATTAGAATATTTTTCGAAAATTAAGTGTGCAATGTGATAGTATGCATTTTATTTTCAATTACTTATTATTTATTATTATTTATTAGTTATTATTACTAAGGATGAGAAGTTGTAGAAATTACATATTTTTTTCCGTGTCTTCTATTTATAGCTATGTAAGTCAAAAATGTGTTCTATGACCTAGTAAGTTTATATTTGCAGTTTTTTTTTTTTTACATACTTTAGCATATTTTGGTATTTTTTTCAAGAATAGCATATTAATGATTTTTCGACCAAATAAATGCTTTTTCAATAAATTTGTATTTGTTTTTAATAAATTATATCCCATAAAATAATAATTGAACGCGAAACCTGTAGTTCCAATAATATAATTTTCAAACCTAAAATTTAAAATGTGTATATTTTATAATTATTTATTAACGAATTGTTTTATTCGTTTATTAAAATATAATAGAACATGAATGTTTATCAAGATATTGGTGTTTTTATCTTATCTATAATATGATATCTTTACGTTATTTTTCCTTTCACGACTGTCAAAAATAAAATTTAGTTTAGTTCACCATCGTCGGTTATATTTGCTCTTATTATAATTCGTGTGTTCGTTGTGTCATTTAGTATTTAATTTATTAAAAATACCGAAAGCCCCTAGTGTAAAGCAATACGTTACAGAATTTGGTAAAAATGTTTTTCTACAGATGGCGATATTTTATTTTTTAGAATATGTGAGACCAAAGTTATTAGTAGTAACACCTGTATAACATCAACAGATGTAGAAAGAAGTTCTTCCCGTTATAAAAATATTTTGTCGGTTAAATGTTGAAAATTTAAAAAAGCTTTGGTGGTCCAGTGCAACAAATTTAACTCATAGATGTATAATTATATATTATTTATAGATTTAATTGAATTTAACAAATGCATTTATTTTTTTGGTTTTAAAAATATTTAATAATAGAAGTTAAGTAAAAAATAGTAAATATTTAATAGTAAATAATATAAAAACTTTTTTTGCATATTTTTGTTGTTTTTTGCGCATATTTTGGCATATTTTTGTGCATATTTGCATGTACCTATATTTTGCCAATTTTACCTCTTATAACTTCTCATCCCTAGTTATTACTAATGCGTTTTGAATTGTGATACATAAGTATACTTGATTCACATCAGGAAACTCTTATGCTTGCAAACGATAATTAAATAAAAGTGATAAAAATCAGTGTATAGCTCTGTAAATATAAAAAAATTATATAAAAGTATAAGTTAGTAGATATTAGTATTATGTATAAATGTTTATATTTTTTTTTAAACTGTAAATATTATAATTAATTGGTACAGCAATACATGGCATATATTATCTCAAATACCTTTCATTAGGTATAAAATTCTAATATTTTCAGTAGAAAATAAATAAAAACTCATAAAATTGATTGCCTAGAAAATAATATGTGTAGCCTCTATAGGTATAGAATGCAAAATAAATTTTTTCTTTTTTCACAATTTTATTTCATTTTGAATTTTAATTTAAGGGACTAAAAATGTGAAAAATAATATCAAAAATCATAACATTATAAAAACATTATGTTATATAATAATTCTTTCGGCAAAATCAACGACAACGACCAAAAAATTGTAAATTCGTGTGTTCTGTAGGAAGTGTCTTAAGCAATTTTTTGTCAGAATAATATATTTATTGATAAATTTCTAAGCGATCGCCGATCAGTATAAGAAAGTCATTGCACAATTGGTAGAAAATTTGACGCTGCTGAATAATGAAAAAAATTTAAATAATTTATTTTTTAATATATTAAACAAATATGAAATACTAAAACCTAAACGCAAAGAATATATAACCAGCACCGAAAGTATTTATATCAATATAAAAATAAAATATCAATACAAATAAATGAAAATTAAATACTCTGTATCAATAAGATAATTTGATTTACTTGATTTTATGATTTTTTTTTTTTTTTAAAGAATAATAGTTTTTGAAAACTATAATTAAAAGCATGCAACGATGTAAAGAAAATTGTCAAATATCAAAACTATAAAAAAGATTTTTATAATTCCTATTCTTGTATAAATGTAATTAATGTAAATCAATAACATTTCCTCATTGTAAACAGATTATGATTTGTTTTATTACTATTGTTTCTTATACTTCTTATTTCTTATTCACTATTTTGACCATCAAAGGTGAGGTAGATTTTCAGTATTTTTACTTGTATTTTTAATATTGAGTGATGAAAAAATTAAAAAATTAACATTATAATATACAAAACTACATGATTTCAGTACATTAATACTTTATAATATACACCTATAGTTATATAGACAAGAAAATAAAAATATAAACAAAAATAATCATATCTTTAGCGTTTTTGTTTTAGTTAATTTAATTTTATGGCGATATACTACGTTTCAATTTTATATTATATTTTAGGGAACCTAATAAAAATATTATGTTAAAAACTATTAGTATAAATTTCATAATTTTTTTTCACCATTAGAACAGATAGTTTGTAACATTTGGGAAATTTTACTTCTATAAAAAATTATATTGAATATTTTATATTATACTCTTACACTTAAATAATTCAGGTAGAGTTTTTCACCTTAGAAGTTAGCCCTAAAGCCTTACTACAGCTTCTAAGTTTCTATATCATTGTATGCAAACGTGCAGCAATTTATAGGTGAATCGACCACATATTATATATACCTAACAATAATTATATTTATTTTACAAAATACTGTCAAAGTATCTTCTTAAAATCCGGTCCTATATATACAGTGTGTTCACGCTAAGAGGTACCACTAAATATTTCAGTTGGATGATCTCGTACTGAAATGGGGTTTTCGCTGAATGACAGATAGTACTTAAATACATATTTTTAGATAAATTTCAAATTTTTAACACTTTCGATACGCGCATGCGCGATACAACTTACTTTTTTTTAAATGGTAACACCATTTTTTTTTTACATATTCGGATAGAGTATTTTTTTCTAAACAATTTATGTATAAAAAGTTTTTTTCTAATTACAATATTGGCATATGAAATTTAACGATGAAATTTAATATTTACGAGTAATTTGTTTTTGACGAAATTTAAAACTAAATTCAACTTATTTTTACTTGTTACTAGTTATTAGTATCCAATATTGTTAAATACCTGTTTGCACACAGATAAGATATAAATAAACACTTTTTTTATCGTAGTAATCGTAAATAAGATAGCTAATTGAAGGTAATGAAAACTATAAAATTGTACACATTTTGAATTTGAAATCAATTTTTATTTATTTGCAATTACGTTCTACAGTTCTATCTGATAAATTGTTCGAAGTTTCCACCTTGATGTTCCAAACATGATTCCAAACGTTTTAATAATTCCGTTGATGTGGCAGCATTTATTTGTTCTCTTCTCAAATTACTACAAGCCAGTCGTATTTTGATTTTTAAATCTTGGAGATTAATAGGTGGATCTGCATATACAACATTTTTTAAATGCCCCCATAAAAAAAAATCCAATGGGGTCAAGTCTGGAGATCTTGCTGGCCATGGAATTACTCCATGGGTACCAATCCATTGGTTAGGAAAAATTTCATTTAAATAATTTTTAACAATGATGGCGTTGTGTGCTGGTGCACCGTCTTGTTGAAAATACATATTTTCCCACGTTGCTAATGAAACATTTTCTAGTAGTAATTGATTTTAAATTCAAAATGTGTACAATTTTATAGTTTTCATTACCTTCAATTAGCTATCTTATTTACGATTACTACGATAAAAAATGTGTTTATTTATATCTTATCTGTGTGCAAACAGGTATTTAACAATATTGGATACTAATAACTAGTAATAAGTAAAAATAAGTTGAATTTAGTTTTAAATTTCGTCAAAAACAAATTACTCGTAAATATTAAATTTCATCGTTAAATTTCATATGCCAATATTGTAATTAGAAAAAAACTTTTTATACATAAATTGTTTAGAAAAAAATACTCTATCCGAATATGTAAAAAAAAAATGGTGTTACCATTTAAAAAAAAGTAAGTTGTATCGCGCATGCGCGTATCGAAAGTGTTAAAAATTTGAAATTTATCTAAAAATGTGTATTTAAGTACTATCTGTCATTCAGCGAAAACCCCATTTCAGTACGAGATCATCCAACTGAAATATTTAGTGGTACCTCTTAGCGTGAACACACTGTATACCTGTAAAACACCTTTTGCCGCCAAACCATAAACCACGAGTGATGGGCGCCGTATACGCACAGGGTCCATTGAACCTGTTCTACCCCTTTTATCATTAACAATAACACCACTTTTGATGCAGAAATATAAATCGGTCAAAAGGTGAATGGGGTTCAATGTGAGTTTGCTGCAGTTCGTGTGACCTAAATGCATCGCGTATAGCATGATATGTGCAGCCATGTACAATAACAGGTGTTATATTTTAGAAGTTATTCATTCACGTTTTCTATAACCAATCCAAGACGTCACAGCTGCATCGATGTATTATTGTCTCGATATGCCATGCATGTTTAGTCAAAAAACTTATACGTAGGATATTAAAATATCGTACCGACGGGATTGATGACAATACCTGCATCAGTTAACCTTATTTTAATACACATATATACTTTTTTTATTTATTATTTAAGAAAATAATAGATCCCTCTAAACACATGTTTATTTATACGTATAACCCTTTTTTCACGTATTGAAGTCCATTCAACTCTTCAAGCCCGCCATTTCACCTGCTATAAAATATTAAAGATCCCTCCAAAAATACGTCCGTTTTGCAACCATTTTTTGGGCCATTTTCATGATTTTGAAATTCAAATTTACGGCTATTGAAATTATACAGCTTTGCGGTTGATTTCGAAAATATCATATACCAAATATGTATAATGTATTTTACATCTAAAACCTAGTGAAATACTAGATAGTATACTGTACTAGGTTGATTCAAGAGTTATTAGATGAAGTCATAAGACATTTTAAGTATTATTATTATTATTATATAAAGTAGACTCTGGGTACTCCAGTTATGCAATAACGCAATAATCTGATACATATCTGGCTAAATTCTATTTTTATTTTTACTATTTTTACTTAAACGATTGTAAGAATAAAGGTCTTAAAAGTATCATTTCAAATAAAAAAAAAATTGATAAGGTTTTTAGACCTATCTTATCAAAAGATTAATTCAATAATTATAATTATAAATTAGTATATAGGTATTATTTATATTTTTAAATAAAATAAATTAAAGTTTATCAACAAATAAAAATGCACTTTTATGTGAATTTCCATTAGTTCTACAGTTTTTTGTCTGAAATCTGGTGAATTACCGTAAGTATGAACATAAAAACATTTTTATAGATATTTATTGAAAAAAAATTTAAATTTATTTCTTAAGTAAATAAATAGTAAAAATAATCAAAATATTTTAAAAATGCTATTACATACATAAAGTTCTAGATTAAGCATTTCATAAAAATTACATAAATTTATGATTATTTATTTTTGAATTACTTACATCTAAAACAAAATCGGATTTGTCAAATTTAAGTTTTGCATAAAAATTTCCGTTTTTCTTAAGTTGTATAAATTTATTTTTCCTAACTATTTTTTTAAAGTGTTAAGAATTTTTTACTTCTATGAAGTATTAACTAGATCCAATTTTCCACCAGAAATCACCCCTATAGTTGAAAATTGAAGTTTTTTTATTGTTTAAAAAAGTTATGACAAATATAATAGTAAAATAATAAATAAAAAATAAAAATAAAAACACATATCATTGTAAAATCAATACAATCATCACTCCGCTCAGAATCTAAAATGTTGAATTATTTCAAGTAAAATGTATAAAAATAATACTTATTATTGATATAATAAAATAATAATAATTAACACCTATAGGGCTATGGTCCAAGATATATATTTAAAAATTAAATCATAAGCTTGTTTGTTAAAATGCATTTTTTTTTATAATTATAATTTATTATCTGTCATTAAAACAATTTACTGATAGACCATCAGTGATATTTATTTAAATTATTTACATAAAAGAACAAATTAATTTTAAAAATTGAATTACTATTTATTTGCACAGGATGTAATATCGTGACACTTATTGACTATTGTAAACTGTTACGTAGTATATTTGAATAACGAAATTTGCATGGGTTATATAATTTATACTACGTATACAACACATAACATAATAATGCAAAATAGAGATCGATCCAAATAATACATAAAATCCAAATAGATAAAAGTCTTAATAAAACGATATCTGAGCGATAACGTAACTTGTCGATCATAACTCAACTTTTATATTAGTTTTTTGTCGTATATTAATCAATTTTTACTAACACAATTTGTACACCCAATTATGTATCGATACAACATTTTTAATGAAATTCCAGTAGGTAGATACGTATCGCCAACGTTGCCAACGCATATTGTTATACTCAATCTTATTTTAATAGGTAGCGTACACAATTATTAATTATAACTATTTAATATTAGTGGTATTTTATTACATATTATTATTATTTCTTATTATATTTTGGAAAGTATAATTTATATTATCAGTTAAAAAAGACTATAATATTATATATTTCATACATTCATATTATTGTATGCGCACAATATAATAAAATTATAATAATTATCAATCCAAGATTGTATAATTTGATCACAATAAATTTTAATCATACATTATTATATGTTTATATAGTATTGAAATAATAAAATACACTATGAAAATAATTCACATAATATTAATATTATTATAACTTCTATAAAAGATAAAATATCAACAATACAAAAACACCACATTTTATTATAAATGAGTATTTAAAAGTTCATAAGTTTTTTATGAAAAAAAATGAAATGTTTTTTTCTTCATTTGTTTCAAAACTCGGTTCATTCTATCAGTAAATACTTAATATGTGTCGACTGAATTTATGAATAAATGATAGTTACTATTTCCTATAATGATATTGGTTTTAGATTATTTGATTAATTTTTATAATATGCTTGCAAGTCTTTACCTATCAAAAGCAACTATTCTCACAAAAGGGTTTGCTTATACAAGATTTATTAACTTCAGTCTTCAAAGGTTAGGCATGTGGGTGTATCTCGCTTGGCCCACAGGCGTTCAAAGTTCAAAGTTTCCCGTTTACAATCCTTAAGAATAATGTATTCATATTTTACTATTTATGTATCTTACACACTTCTCATTACAGATACTTTATTTCTTGTTATAATGGTTATATTTTCAATGATATAAGACACAGGCATGGTAAAGTTAAAATATAAGCTGGACAAAATACATTGAACTATCCGTGGGCCGCACAAACAACTTATTGAAAAAAAAAAGCTTTATACAAATATTTTATAATTTTATTCCTCAGCACACCACATAATATTTTATTAAATTATTTATAATTATTTTTACATATTTATTAAATATTATTTAAGTTCCAATAAAAAATAAAAATTATATTTGTTAATTATTATGTTAAGGAATTATTATTTTATTAAATTAAATTTTCCAATAATACTGGTTAGTTAAAAAAAAAATGCACACGTTACATCTAATATTGCATTTCAGTCAATTAATTTAATAATTTTACTAATACCCATTGGGGTATTATACTATTATATATATATTTATTTAATAAATATCTATTATTATTATTATTATTATTAATAATAATTGCTTATATGTATGGTTGTTTGACGCACGTTGTATAGATTAATTAAATTAGAGTTATGCTTAAAAATGGACTAAGAAGCTTATGGTGTAGATTAATGTTATTATAAATTTTACATTAATAAAAAAATGGCTATAGATACCTGTAAGCTATAGTGAATAATGCGTATTATTAACTTAATTTTTTAGTTCGTAAATTTAGAACAAAGCAAATTATTATACACGTAATTGTTAATTTTTCAAATAACTTTAAATAAACTCAAATGATGACTATATGTGTAACTACTCGTATGCATGGTTATGAAATATTCAAAGATTTACATAATTTATTTTTTATATAAAAAGAATCAGGTTTGGTCAAAAATAATTTTGTATGAATTTACAAGAATGTATAAGTATTTTATAGAATCTATCAATATACTTTTAAGAATTAGATTATTTTAAAAAACAAAGTAAATATAGCAGACAATTTTCTTGCTTTTAAGTTTCATAATAGATCAGTTAAATCTACTCAATATTAAAACAAATGCACAAAATTGGTTTTACTAAACGCAAATTTCCTATGTTGTATATTTACTAGAAGGAGATAACGTGCATGGATATACTAGATACGGTATCCTCTTAAAAGCTAAAAGAGGATCAAGCATATTATAATATGGTGGAGAGATGGTGAAAAATATACATTTGATTCATCAAAACAGTTGATTTATAAAATAAACATTTTTAATACAAAATTAAAACAATAAATACAATTACAAATAGTCCAACCACGTTTAATGGATATATTGTTATATATTATACAACCTAATGTAATTATTTTTAGACGCTAATGGCCATGTAGTCGAGACTTAATGCAAAAATAAAAAGTTTATAATAATAGGTAGGTAATCTACCTATACCATTATTTTATCAAATTCATTTGGGCTTACCTCCGT